CCTACTATCTCTGTACGAATTTCTAAGTTCTCTGTTACCTCAGCCTTCGTAATTGTGACGATACAATGGCTTTACAAAGTGTATTTTGTCCTTTTTTTTTATGAAGAAAGGTTGAGACGGAGGTGACGAGCAGTCTAGTCAAAGTCAATAAACTGGTTGAGAGACCTTACTCTTTTTTAAAAAGTTGTAACATTAGAAGCAACCTGAATAGGTGGGGTCAAGCTCCCACAGAACCAGGATTTTTAGTTCAGCCTTCAGTAGCAGTTTTTTTAAAAATTAATTAATAGGATGAGGGCTTCACTGGCTGGGCAGCATTTATTGCCCAGAGAGCAGTTAAGTCAATCACATTGCTGTGGGTCAAGAGTCACAGGTAGGCCAGACCAGGTAAGGATGGCAGTTTCCTTCCCTCAAGGGCATTAGTGAACCAGATGGGTTTTTCCCCCAACAATCAATTCCGGATATTTTTAATTGGATTCAAATTCCGCCATGACAGGGTTCAAACCCAGGTCCCTGGAATGTTATCTAGGGATCTGGATTAACAGTCCAACAATAATACCACTAGGCCATTGCCTCCCCAGTTGCTAGTGTCTGAATGTGAAAACTCTTTTACCTCTCTCTGTTACAGCTAAAAGCTGGGGTTCTCTTCCTGCCGATAGAATTGCATGTGAGACAATCTGTTTTACTGACTTTGCCTTTGCCAAGGGTGTGCTTATGGGACATTTCTATATTGGAACAGTTAATGAGCAGTTTATTATTTTACGTATTTTGACAGAATTCAGTTAAGCCAATTCTTTTCTTTTTATTTTGTCTGTATTTTAACTATAGTGTATTAATAAAGCACGTTTTTCTTCAAGACTGATTGCCCAATCGAATTGCACCCAGATCGCAATGCCTGGCACATGCTTTTAAAGTAAGAAAAAGTTAGGATCCGGACGATCTCCTTGACATGTTTTGAGGGGGTTTGGTCTGGGCTATAACGTAATTAATCTTTATAAAGGGTCATCTTGACTCTTTTTTGGAGTTTTTTTTTTCCATAGAGGCTCCCTGAACGGCTGTGTATTTACAACGTTATTTGATTTGATTTCAAAACTGAGAGGAACAGCGTAGCTTCATACGACAAGAGTTTCTCTGATGGTTGAGACAGGCCACTGAAACAGAGGCAGGTTCTGGCACAAGTGTCTCATGTGATATGGCTATCGGGTGTCATTGTGAGCTGTTAACTTCAGTGTTGACACCTTTTGCCAAACCGTTGTAGCCCCCGATCCCCATTGTGTTGCACATCAGCTTGCGGATTATGTTGCTGTATTCCCCTTTTGTCAGTGACTGTCTGTAGTGCAAACATTGTATCAGACCTTCATGTCACATTTGCAAGCATCCATGAACAGGAGTTTTGGGTGTATCCTGCTTGTCGTTTGGCATTGGTCACCTCACCATACAGAAAGTCCTGCCAACATGCCCAATTAGTGAAGTCATCTCTGCTCAATGCATAGCAACTCACTTGGGAGAATTGCTTTTGGGAGGATGGCTGCATTCTTGATTTTGTCATTCCTTGAGGGGCCCAGGAATTGCCACAAACAACGAAGATGAAGATAAAAGCCTAATTGAGTTATCTTTCTTGATAGTGATAGGTCATCCATGTTTTGCAGCTATACAGCAAGAAAACAGTGTTCTTGTGGCACAACGGTAGTGTCCCTGCCTTCAGGCCAGAAGGCTTGAGTTCAAGCCCACCTCCTCCAGAGGTGTGTAATAACTTGCTTGAAAAGTTTGGTTAAAAATACCCACAAGAGAACACACATTTGTCATGAACCAGCATCTTGTCCCAATGAGTCAAATTGAGGATGTTTCATAAGATGCCAGCATTAGTAGCTGTTTTGACTGTGGATGTACTGAGTTCTGCATCGAGAGACAAATCTCCAAATACAATTAGGATTTAGTTTAATGATCCCATAATAGAGTCATAAATGTCTACAGCAAAAAACAAGCACCGAACTATTCTGTTCACATACAGAAATCAATAAATAATTGGGTTGAATAGATCTGTGTACCTAATGCCAGTCTTGTATGTGATTTAAGGAGAGTTGAATAAACTTTTATCTAAAGATGGATTTTGATGAGGTTTATAAAGTGGGGAGATTGTTGGACGGACTTGGGGAGGTGGAATTACGTAGAGGGGGCCTGAGGTGACTAAAGATTTTGCCACTGACTGATGGAGTATGAGTGGTAGACAAAAGGCCAGTGTTGGTGGATTGAAAGGTATTCAGAGGGATATGTAGACTGAAGATCAAAAGGGCTTTGCAGAATATGATCTTAAATTTGACATGTTCGGGAAATGGAGTCAGTGAGGCCCACCGTATTGAGTTTTGGATTGAGGCACTTGAATCAGAAAAGGAGACTATTATCAGCCAGGACGGAGATAGAAAGGGGAGCGTGTGCTTTGTTCAGTCATAAAATGTTTCAATTTTTTTCATCCTCTGTCCAATCTTTTATGCAAAATCTGACTCCAGTTCTCAAAGGGTTAGTGAATATCCAACCCTCAATGCAGGTGCTGTGTCAGATCACAATTTACATCAGTTAACCAAACAAACAGTAGTGTCCTTGAAGCTGGTTATGTTTAAGTTATCTACCTAGTGTGATTTTTTAGAGGAAAAATTGGGGAAAAAAGAGTGGCATAAGTAGAATGTAGGGCATGGGTCTCCTTTATAGAAGAAGCAAATGATTACAATCTCCTGCCTTGTGAAAGTTGTGTTGAGTCAGTTCTGATAAAGCTGGAATGGGACAACACCCATTTAAACTATTCTAATGAGACAGAGTAGCAACAGGTGAAATGCTGTTTGACAAGTTGGGTGAGAACATAGTCCCAGATGTGTCATAATATGTGTTGCTAAGTAACAAAAGAATTCCCCATCCTTCCGGCACCGGCTGAGGGCAGGTGGATGTTTGAGAACATTTGTTTATCCTGCGGTGGTGGGACTTCATGACAGTGTTCCTCTGGAACTCGCTCAATTTTACAACAAGCTCGTACCATCGTCAAAACTCTTTTCAAAGGTCACGCAGCAAAACTTATCCGAGACTAGGATTTTTGCCGGGAGAGAAACTGCAGTAGGATATGCCGAGGAGAGTTTCTGCTACTTTTTCTGGGGAGTAGCTGGTAAAATCCAAGTCCTGGATATCACTCACAGGGACAATGTTACATTTTAGAACAGCAACAACGTGCACCATTGCTGAATCACCGGAGCCTGTTCGGAGGGTAAGTCATTTTCTTATTATTGCTTCAAGTGAGCGACAGTATCTAATATTCCAGTTTAAGCTGAGTGCTGTGTGTTTGCTCAGAAATGTTCTTTAGTTTTGTTTCCGCTTTAATAATGCAGGAGGGCTAATACCGGGTTGTTCTGTTGTTTAGAGTAACATTCGAAGGGTCCGCCTGACTCTGCACAGTGATGGCAACTCGACCTCAACGGGGGATGAAACCAAAAAGAGGGGCAAAGCAGAAACGGTCAGTACCGCCCGGTAAAAGTCATTGTCTCTAAAGTCTCCAGCAGGTAGAGTTTCCATCCCTACTGATTGTCTTGAGGCAGTTATAGATGAATCTCCTGGATACTGCTGCAAGCACCCCCAGCCAGAACATCATAGAGCCCTGATAGGAAGGGTTCTTGTGGCACACTGGTAATGTCTCTGCTTCTGAGCCAGAGGGCCTGGGTACAAGTCCTACCTGCTCCAGAGTTTTGATTAAAAACATCTAAAATCGCTGATAGGGCTCTGTTTTATGTTTAAATGAGTACTTTATTTTAATTATGAAAATATCAGAGAAGGTTTTGGTCAGACGAAAGAAGGCTGATTAAATGCATCCTGACCACCAGCCAATTCAGAAATAAAATGTGTGTCCTCCTACTGAGTGATAATGGATCAGTAAGGTTGGGGTCAGGACAAACAGTTGCTCATAGCCTGAAGCTTTGTGGAATATTTGCATTCCAAGTTTGCAGCCCTAAATGCTGATAATTATTGTATCATCAATGCTTGGTTATGAGCTAATGGTTTCGATTTCTAGTTCTCATTTAGCCAACCAGCCAATATCAATAGTTTCACTGCCATTCAGTTGCCATTAACTCATAACTTATTCCTTAAGTCGTCTTTGTAAACAGTGTAAGACATTCTGTTTAAAATGAAAAGCTGATTTTTAAGTATGGATCTCTGGTCAGCATGGATGAATTGGGTCAAAAGGTCTGTTTTCATGCTTTTTGACTCTATGTACAATTTGCTGCCAATTCATTGTCTCAAAGTTAACAACAAATTCCTTGAATATTTGTATGGAATACACCTGCATATGGGTGAATTTCTATTTCAATGCATTGCTTTACCCATGATCTTTCCTCCCATGGTTTTGTGGCAAGAAGCTTCATTTTATAGGACCAGCATGTCTCGTATCACCCATCAGAAAGAAGCAATTTTACAGCAGAGGTTTTATGCAGTTAGTTTGCTCAGGGTTGCTCACCTTCAGTGTGTGCTGATGGACAGAAACTCTCCAGGACAAAGAATTGACATGAATACACATTGCTGTCTCCCCCTGATGCAAGCAATTTAAATCATTTACAAATGAGTCATGTGTGGACCACCCATTTGTTGTTGGAGTAGGTTATTGGAAGCTCTGTGCATGTCTGGGGGGAAAATACCTGACATAACTGAGGGACCCGTGTGCCTGAAAGTTCCACACTGGCACATGTATCAAGCTGATCCGAAACAAACTTGTTATGGTTGTTACATGCATGCAGAATAAAAAGTTTCTTCACTGATTGATAAAATACTGGCTGTAGCTCCCAACAAATCAGTGAATGCATTAATGCAAGTTTTAGAAGTGTTATTACATTAGTCACTGAAGTGATAAAGATCCCTTGGTCTGTATTAGGAGATTTGTGAGAACGTGCAATAGGTTCCTCTCATCTCTAGTTTAGGTTTGAGCTGTGAGTATATATTTTGATTAGGAATTCAGTGTTGTGATGGTAATAATGTTTACTATAAATAGTTTCTCATTACAGGTTAATGGACTGCACCAATGTTTATTTCATTACCCTAATGTAGATATGCCAACTCTGGGGCAGAGGTGGCTGAGCTACATAATATTTCTGTTGAGCTCTGTAATAGTTTTTGTATTCAGTCGGTCACTGATGACAAAGGAGAAGAAATCTAGAGACTGTGGGAGTTCCACAGGGATCTTGTTTGTCAACTTTGTTAGCTCAATGGTTTTGACAATAGTAAATAAATTACTCAAACCTTGCATACGCTATGTCCACGTTTAGAATATCATCTGTACTTTCGACACTCCATTCCTGAGTAGATATGAATGCACTAGTAAATGTTCAAAGAAAAGTTAAGTACAGTCCAGATTTGAGAAATTCAAGTTGTGAAATACCTCCTAGAACTGGATTTGTTTTCCTTATAAGAAAACGTTAAGAGGACACATGAACCAGATCATTAAAAAATTCGAAGTGTAATGGATCTAAACTCCTGTATGACCAGATAAACACTGCCCAGGAACAAATGTGGGCCATTGAACCAGATCATGACTGATCTGTTTGTGGCCTCAGCTCCACTTTCCTATCTACCCCTGATACTCGTTGGCTCCCTTGCTTAATCAGGCATCTTTTTCCATGTAGAGGTAGTAAGAACTGCCGATGCTGGAGTCAGTGGTAACACAGTGTGGAGCTGGAGGAAATTTCTGAACAAGGGTCCCCACCCAAAACGTCAGCTTTCCTGCTCCTCTGATGCTGCCTGGCCTGCTGTATTCCTCCAGCTTCACACTGTGTTATCTTTCTCCATCTGCCTTCAACTGATTCAGTGACCTTGCCTCTCCTGGTGTCTGATGAAGAAATGTTTGAATGCTTTCAGACCCTCAGAGGAAGAAAGGTTCTCCCTGTCTGTCTTAATTAAACAGCCCCTTATTTTTCAACAGCCTTTTTAGAGTTGTTGTTACACACCCCTGGTGCAGGTGGGACTTGAACCCAGACCTCCTGATTAAGAGGTAGGGACATTACCTCTGCATTCCAGCCATCAAATTAAACAGTGGTCTCTTCTGATTCAAATGATCAACATGCAATGAAATATCCCAGACTGTGGCTTTGGGTACTTACATTTTTATTCATTCATATCACGAGGGCACTGCTGGCTGTGCCATCTTTTGTTGCCCATCTCTAATTGTCTTTGAGATGGTGGTGAACTGCTCCCTGTTAACTCAGCCACGGAGCAATCGGGTTAAAGACAGTTCGGGTATTGTAGAATGAGCAAGTCTTGAACCACTATCTAATAGTTGCATATAATACAAAATTATTATTGGACATGTTTGTAATTGAATAGAAACCCCATTGAATTACTGGAGGGATTTGTCAACAGTTTGCCTTTGTAGTTTGCTCTAGTCCTGTCTAGCAGGTGCAGTGAGATAGACTTTAACAGACACAATGACATAAATTTGAATGTCGTCCAGATAAACTGCAGTTCTAAACACCACATCACAGTCCTTGCGTAATCAGTGAATTATGTAGAGCTGATGTACAACTGCTCGATTACCTTCCACCTTGAGCACAATTGTTACGCTGGTATTCAGATGCACTAGATTTGAGTTGAGCTTTATTCTCTCATGTTTTGCTCAAACGTATTTACATATTGTCCGAGGCAGACTTGCCAGAAGCAGGCATAATCACGCAATGTTTTAGAACTTTTTTTTAAAAACTGTTTGCTTCAAAGATATGTCTCATTTAAGTGCAGCAATTTGCTGCTGTTTTGTGATAAACGCATTTTCAATCGTATTACTCAGAATGCTCCTACCGGTGACTAAACCAATTTAAATAAATTCATATTACTTGAAAAAAATCGTTTGCTAGTTACAGTAGTGTACTGAGGTTAGTTTTCTAAATTAAATTCAGAAGAGTTTGTATTCAGTCGATTTTTAAATCTGATTTTATGCCTAAAGATTCCAACTTAATTTTCGTAGCCTCCTTAGAAGTCTAAGCAATGAGCAGAAACCGTGATTTCCACAAGTGAGGGGCTTGGCCCGTTTTGTGGGTGGGGCCTGCTCATAGTGCAATTTTTGAAACAACAAAACAGGGAAAAAGATTGCAGAAACTCAGTTTGAGCTTAAAATTCTCTGATGTTTTGAGTTAATTTCATCTGAAACTGGTGAAATTAACTGGTTTGGGGTGAATGAAGACATATGAACAGAAACTCCAGACCACCATCTTCAGCAGAGGAAATCCTCCAACGTTCTGGTGGGAATATTTCTGCCCTGTAGTAATTCTGAGGAATTTTCTGTTTTTGACAGCATCAATCTCTTTGCGACTATTTAAGCGTCAGTGAGGTGTGATTAAGTTTACTTCACAAAATACTGACACCCACTTTATTGCCAAGCAACAATTCTGGGATCAGAAATACTTCATTGTTGGACTGATCAGGCGGGTGGGTCAACAGTTTATTTGTTGGTTTCTAAATGTTTAGTCTAATCTCTACCCAGTCCTGGTTTAGAGAATTCTGAGTGGGAATATTTTAAGACTGCATTCTGGGAATTTAACCTTGTTTTATGGGAAACTGGAATCACACCGGCACCAATTTTCCAAGATTTGATTATGGTAATTACCAAAAATTCTGCACAAAGATTTTCTCACCTGAACTCCCATTGGGTGAGGGGGAAAAAAAAATGAGTGCCATCCATGGGAAATTAATTGACAGGATTTTTATATAACTTCTGTGTATAGGCCAATGTATCTGATAATCTGTACAAGGTGCTTGATCTACTGACAGCGATAGTAAGAACTGCTGATGCTGGAGAGATTAACACAGTGTGGAGCTGGAGGAACAGAGCAGGCCAGTCAGTATCAGAGGAGCAGGAAAGCTGATGTTTTGGGTCGGGACCCTTCTTTAGAAAATCTGAAGAAGTTGCCTGGCCTGCCGTGTCCCTCCAGCTCCACACTGTGTTATTTATGATCTACAGACAGTAGTTTCTTTAAATTCATTGACGAGATGAGGGCGTCGCTGGCTAGGCATCTCTAATTGCCCAGAAGGCAGTTCAGAGTCAACCACATTCCTGCAGGTGTGGAATCACATGTAGGCCAGACCAGGTAAGGATGGCACTTTCTTTCCCTAAAGGACGTTAGTGAACCAGATGGGTTTTTCCAACAATCGACAATGGATTCATGGTCATCATTAGACTCTTAATTCCAGATATTTATTGAATTCAAATTCCACCATCTACCGTGGCAGGATTCAAACCCGTGCCCCAGAATGTTATCTGGGTCTCAGGATTAACGGTCCAGTGATAATACCACTAGGCCATTGCCTCCCCAGTAGTAAATGCATTAGAATCAAATCCACCTTCGTGATTCTGTGTATCCGCATAACCTTCCTTTCTCCATATGCTTTTTCTGCAAACAGGTCGCAATCTGAAAGGAATTGCAGCTACTTTATTTCCTCATTACTGACTGGAATAATACAATTTACTGTCCTTTGCTAAGA